TTATTAAAAAAGAGAGAAAGTAAAATTTTGTACCGTAAAAAGAACAGAAGACCAAGAAAATTACAATATTTTATTATGATCCATGGTACCACCATTTTATTATCAACATCATTATATTACATACATTCATGTATATGTATGTATGTATTCAATTAACATCATTTCATACAGTAATAACATGCAAAAATAAAATAGTGTTGTTTAAATAGTTATTCAAGTGGAAAAGTTTTTTTAACATCGCCAAAAAAGGGGTAATGGTTATTCAAAATATGTTAAACATAGAAAGAGACCTGCATTATTCCAAAAAACAGAATGTGAGTTAAAAATTATAAATATACGCGAATATATAAGATTTTTGATTCTCAAATTGTATTTGATTCTTTATTTAGAACTTTATAAGGGAAATAAATTCATTGCATTTTCTTCATTTTCATCATGGGCGAAGCATCATAATTTTAATTTTGTAATGCATATGTATAAATTAATTGCATATTTATAGCCTCGCGACAAGCCTAGTTGACCTATGTGTACCCTTCGGGGAGCTGCGACAACCTAACCTAACCTAACCTATACCCTCGCAAAATTTCGAAATTGACCTAATGCGGTTTACATCAAACTTCATTAATGATAATGTTTATGAGATGAAAAATTAACCTACACATAAAGGCAAACAAACTGTTATTTTTGCTTTTAAACCATAATCGGTAGGAAGAGGCAAAAATTTGTTTGCTTAGGAAACTTTTATCGTTCTGGAAAACCACAGAAATTCAGGGGTATTTTAATAAATTCTTTATACCTAATTAAAATTAAAATAAATTTATACTCTCGTATACAGTTACCTATTGTTACTTGGACCATAATAGTAAAAACATATTGAGTGATAGCTGACACTGAGTGAGAATAATTCCACCTTGGATACCTATTCTTTGTTCAACTTCATTGAATGATTCTGAATGTGGGTGGATAGGTCTGACTTCAGTTTATTAAATATTTTATTTGATTTGGTTGACTATAATTGTTTGTTTTTACCTAGTGGTGACAGCTATATTAACAGTTTTTATATCGTCATGTTTCGATTATTTGATGAGAGCACTCCGTCAAAATGTTTACATTATTTGTTGTCATTCAATTTTGACGCGCTTTTTGAGTTACTTGATCTCAGAAAATCCAGAAATTCAGTAATGAAATTGAATAAAACTCAAAAAAAAATTTTAAATTTGTAATGATACTTTGTTGTAGATTTAATAATGCCACAATGCCACGTCACTGTTATATATGTACATATATAATATATATATTTATTATCCACTGTTCGTCGGTTTTGTTACAAAATCGCTACTTCTATTTGCTTCTAAATTTATTTTAGAATAAAATTGGCACAAAAAAGATCACCAAAGTCACTAATTGCTTTTATATGGGACTATGGGTCTATGTTACTGCTAGCTACCGAATTTTTTCAAGACCAGTGTAAAAACAAATCCAAAAAAACAAAAACTCTTCGTAAATCAATTTGTATGTACATATAAATGTATATGTGTACCAATATTGTAAAACATTGCCAGACAATACGACTATGCAACATAACACATTATCGGATTGTGAGCCAAAAAAACAACAGCAAACGAAAAATGAAAAGAAAAACAAGAAATATGAATAAGAAATCAACAAAAAAAATAAAAGAAAAAAGAATTGCAAAAAAAAATAATAAACAAAAATTAAAAAACGAATTAGAGACAAGAAATAAAATTCAAAGCCTTTCACTCAAATTAAAAAACTATGTATATAATTGCAAAGCATAAGTATATAATATACAATAAGCAAATGAAAGACTGAATGAGCTTCACATAGATGGTGTTGTTGTTGGTATGGCAGGGATCATCAATTTCGTAGATTCACAGATTCACAGCTTTTGTAGTGATACAAAAGGGCAACATTAAAAATTTGAGAAATAGAAAGGAAGGGAAATAAAAAGGTTTTTTTGGCTCAAATTTTTTTTTTTCTGTTTTATGATTTCTTTAAAATTAAGTATTAATTTGAAAATGAATAAAATGTACGAAAATAAGTTATAAAGGTGGACTAAAAATTGAAAGTAATTTAATTCCCAGAGTTCGAGAAAGTAAGCGAATCAAAAATGCTCTATACCTACAAGTTTTCCCTGAATTTTGTAAAAATGTAAAAGCATAGCTCGCTTATGGTTCATAAATAATTTTAAATTGAACTCCCAAAGCAAATTTTCATAAAGAATTTTTTAATTGAAGTAATTTACTCTTATAGTTAATGCATGGCAATAATGTTTAAATCTATAGAGAATGGTATGAATAGGCGCAGTATTGATGCTTCGTCATTAAAGTATATATAAACGTAATAACCTGTGTGCAAAAATTATATAATATCTGGCAGAAATGCAATTTTTAATTCAATCGAGCACACATGCAACTACATGCAATTAAGCAATCAAACAGTTTATAATTTTTTCTCAAGCTAATTGCAATTTAGTAATTAATTTGCAAAACTAAAAATTACAAAGCAGAGCCCTTAACATACGATTTTGAAGTTACACACTTCGCCAGCTTTTTTTAATTGTACCGTCTCCAATTAATATCATTCATATGCGTTCTACACAAACTACAAAAACTAATGGTTAAAATTCAACATGAATTTTTGATTGCACATTTTTAGTCCATCCTAATTACTGTGGCAAAGCAAAATAATGTGAGCAAAAATAAAATTTATTAGGAAAAAAAGAAATAATAAAATTTTCTTTTAATACAAATAGCCTTTACTTTTGTTTTTTTTTTTTTTTTTGGATATAAATTTATTATTTATGTACCTATGTATGTATACATTACTATTAATGCATGCATGTATATATATTTACATAACATACATATGTATGTAATCAGTATATTTGTATGTTTCATTGATATTATTGCAAGTTTTTTATGTAGAAGAAAATTTTCTGCTTGAATCAAAATATTATACACTCGTAATAAATACATTCAAAGAAGACCTTTCCTTTTATATCACATTATTTCGCTTCAATTTTGCTTGTTTTATTATTATTTCGCTTTACCAAAAATAATGTATTTTTCTTTTTTGCTGTTATGCTTACTTTTCTTATTTTTTTTTTTATGTTTTTTTTTATATTATTTGTGTTTTATTTTCACATTAAAAAATATAATATATAATTTATGTATATGTACATACATATTTATATCCATATCATTACTTTTACTATGCATAAACATTATAGATGTATAAATAGTGGAGGTATGTATAACATAAACATGTAAATATATACATATGTATGTACATTAGTAATATCTAAGTGTTTATACATCCCCACATAAGTATATTATTACTAAAGATTTTTTATATTATTGATGTACATACAAACATACATAAAAGCACACATAATGTATTATTAATATTTGTTTTTAATACTATGTACATACACGCAAACCTATGTACCTATACATATTTATGAGCGGTTATGATGTGATACGAAAATGAATTGATTTTTATTTATTTTTCTTCTACAAAGTATCTATTTATTCTATCTATTAATTCTAATACATACAACGTTATTGTTTTATTACATACATACAGTATGTACATTGTTTTGATGTTTAATTGCACATATTAATATCGCGGCATAGATAACAAAAATACTTTTATATTCCGATTTTGTTGTGCTGTAGTGTATTATTTTTAAAATGAATTAAATGAGTAGTTGATCTGTTATTTTATTTTCTCTTAATATTAAATGCATTTTATATTTTTTCTCTTTTCATTTTGTGTTTGTGATAGGTAGAAAATGTACAAGCAGCTTTAAAAATACTCATGCGAACTTGATTTTATAAATATAAAGGAAGGAATTTATAACGATCCGGCTTGCCAGCTGTTTATAAAAATATATTTGATAAAAAAAAACGGTGTATAAAAGAATGAACAGCACTTACAATATAATGTAAATAGGTATACATACATATGTATGTATATCTGCATTAACATGTACTGATTGGAACAAAAAAACACATTTAATAAACGCACAGTTGCAGCAGAACTTTGTGAAACTTGGTCAACGTTTACACATCAAATGTTCTATATGGCCAAGTTGTAATGAATCGATTTTGTCTTTGTTATGAATCGATTAAATTGTATATTACGGAAAGCAATCATTTACAACATATTAAACGTCTACTATTAAGATGTGCTTACAATTTACTAAAGGCGATTTCTAAGCTTAATTAAATCCCTCTGAAATTGTATTTTATAATAAAACCTTAAAATAAATCGAAGTATGTATGTGGGTTTTTTACGAAAACTTATTTAAATAAGACTTATAAGAGTTCCTTGAACCACTTTTTATTGTATGCTTACAAAAACTTATTTAAATGATCCGACTTATAAGAGTTTTGGTTCCTTGAACCACTTTCTTATTGTATGCTGACTGCCATATTATTTTCAAGGAAGTGTAGTAGCTTTAACTTATTACAATCAATGTATGAATAAATGTGAATGTACCTACACATTTAAGCACATACATACATATGTATGTATGTAGTATGTATAAAACTATCAGTCTAATAAAACGGCGACCAACCTATAGATATATACATTCAACCATACATTACAAACATGTAGATCTGCTTATAAATCTATTTACATATTATGTAGTACTTTTACATTACGATTACGCTGGCTTGGAAAAGTTAACTCTTGCTTGTGCCAAATATTCAATAAAACCAACCAAAACCAACACGGCCATAAAATTGAAAATACCAAGAGAAGAGAAACAGAATTAAGAAGCAAAAAAATATATAAAAAAAAAGAAAAGATATCACAACAAAAAGACAAGAAGAAACAAAAACAAAATACAAAACAAAAAAAAAGCAGAAAGGAAGAAAATAAAAATTTGCTTTTTTTATTATTTGACGTAGTATTAAAAATACACAGAGACCATAGGCAAGTTTGAATTTATATGAGAATAGTATTTGCTGGTATATTTTCGTTTGGCATAGCATAGAAGTTTTGATTATTTCTACACTTCATTCAGTTTAAAAATTTCCGTCGGTTAATGCGTATCGCTTGAGTATATTTTATTTATCGAAGGAAAAGGAAAAAAATAATACCAAAAAAGAAATTATTTATAAATAAAGTTGAAAATTAGAAAAAAAAATTTAAATACGAATATTTTGAATAATTAAATATTTATACACATCAACATATGCGAATAAAATTGTGTACACACATTCTAATCCAAACATATAAAACAGTTTTATAGTGTCATTTGAAAAGAAAACCAATAAATAAATACATACAAAATAATAAATAAAAAGAAAAATAAAATCAAAAAAAAAATTATTGTTGTTTTTGACATTTTGTACAAAAAGTCAATTTATAGTAGCGGTATTTATTTACCTGTCAAAAGCAAAAAAAATAAAATAACAATGCTTCTGCACTAAAAATTATTATTAAAAATCTCTAAAAGCATAATTTCATTTAATACTAATGCATGTGAATATGTTCATACACACAAACTTGTGTGGGTACTTACAGCTGTAGCGATTTTGTTTTTAAAATTTTTATTACCTTTACTATTATACTTTTCGAATAACTTAATAATTATTGTCAAAATTAAAATAAAAGTGGTTAAACAACTACGATCTCTTGATGGTATAAGAGAAAAATCAAGTTAACTATAATAACGGTAAATAATGTAATTTATCATTATCGTATATTATTATAATACAAAAATATTGTGTAAGTGTGTGTGTGAACTTTTGAATTTTGGATACGCCGGTGTGTTATTAAATAAAACAAAAATTATAAATTATAATAGAAATAAAAGGAATTTTTGAAATTTTAGAATTTATTAATGAAAACATGAAATGTACGTATATATATGTAAATATATGTATGTATACATTTTTATGAATTTTAATCTCGTTTATATTATATGTATGAAAGTATATATTGAAATAAAAATATTATTAATCGCTTTTACTTTAAGGTTTTTAAATGTCTCAAAAATAAGTGTGTACGTTAGATAGGTAAGATTTTTTAAGTGGATAGATAAGTGTGAGTATGTATGTAATGCATAATCAGCATCATGTGCAACTTACCTAACTTACTACATACAGAGATCCTACTAACATTTATTTTACATTAAAATAAGTAAATTTTGAAATAATTTAATTCTTCATGGGCCCCTATTTATCTACATTATATTTACCAAGTTTGTTATTATTTATGTTTGTGTTTAATATTAATAAATAAGGACGTGAGAATGTTTTCAATATAACATGTGTAGTCGTTATGAATGTTTCATATTATTATGGGTAGGTATATTATAATCTCTTAACTGATACTAAAATTTTTAATTTGATTATTGTTAAAATAGAAAATTATGTTTTTATGTAAGTACCTACATATTTTATTTGCTATAATAAACATTTTCAATTAATTTTCGTATTGTCTTAGTTTAATTTTAATTGTCATATAAGCATGTATTTAGAAATAAATATTCGAATTAAAATTTTGGAATATTTTTATAATCAATTACGGAAATTTATGAATCTATTATTGTTTCATTAAAAAGAAATAACTACGAAAACTACTTGAATTAAGTTCGATAACATTTTAATGAATATGAGGTTAATTAGTGTAATCAAATTGTTATTTGTATGTAGGGCCATCCGTAAATTGATACGGATTGTATCTATACAAAGGCTTTATAATTCCAAAAGAATTTTTTAATCAAATTATACAATCTGCGCGGTTCAATCTTCATTCTAATGTACAGAACTTATACCTATGTTCCCAGGCTGGGGTCTCAGAAAAATGTGCGGCAATAAAAAAAAAACAGAAGTACCTATTTTTAAAATAAAAAGGCTGCTAATTTAAGATTTTTGCATTCAAAAAAAATCTTCAGTATCAAATTGCAGATCATCTTACAAGTATACATACTTACTTACATATATATATGTGGTTAAAAAGTTAACATTATCAGTTTTGTAATTTCAAATTTTTTAATTAAATTTTAATTTTAAATTTTAATAAAATATTAATTAAGAGAAAATTCTAATAAAAGTAACTTAAAAATTATTTTCTAACGTAAACTTGATCACAGATGCATATGTCACCTTGCATATCTTCTCGTGACCCCATCAACGACGATCGAGTATACATTCCGGAGCGACCCTGGCTACCAACATTATAGCTAGGAACCAGGCTAAGTGTGGTCAAATTAACTTTTTTGGTTAGCAAAAACCTGATTAATTAACCTAAAATGCAAGCTAAATAACCACTTATTTAAAATCATCAAAATATTAAAGACCAGAACCTCAGATTTTAGTTGACTCTTATGTAAATTTTACAAGACGTCTTAACCTTTAGTGCATACATAAATTTAACTAAAACCTAAAATATATAAAAACTAAATTAAAGTAAGTACATTTCACAATTTATGAATTTTTTCATACTGCAACTACAAATAGATAAATATGTATACCGTAAATCAATGATAATGTTTTCGTATTAATTATGTATATATTTTCAAATCTATAGATTTGTATTTGTTTTATTATATTAATGCATTATAATTCCTTGTAACTCTGCCAAATTTTTTAATTTGTGCATATACATACATAGATATATACACTATTATATTGCACATATTTCTACAGAATTTAGCAGCCAAAAAAGAAAAAACTAATAGTATATAAGTAATATGTAGTAGATGATATATCAGTTATAAGACAAAAAAAAAAGAAAATAATATTATAAAAATAAAAAACAAAAAGTTCCCCTCGCCCCCTCGAACTATTTAATGAACCTACAAGACCGGTTTTATAATGATCATCATTTTTTCTTACTCAACTTTTGATTAATAAAAATTCAATTTTTTATACTAATGTGCACACATAAGTTATCCAATTCCAATATTTATCTTTTAATGAATTTATTCTGAGAAAGGTTATCGCACACAACAAAATATGTTTAAATAATATATTGTCTTTAAATTTGTATATATATGTATATACTTATATAACAAAATAAATAATACACGTAAGTGTATAACATTATCTATATAACAATATTTTAAGTATAAAAATGTTTGATGAAATGTAAAAGTGGAAAATAAAAACTTCTAATTTCGGAAAGAATTCCTCAACCTGCTTTTACTCTGTTTGGAATATTCAGACAGCTTCTGCGGTTATTTTATTTTTATTTGTTCTTATTGTTTTCAAATAATTTGGTATGTACAAAAGTCTTGAACTCTTTTCATTTGTTATTTAAAGAAATTTTTAATAAATGTTAATAAATTAACAATGAAGAATTGTTTATATCAAAATTTGTAGAGCATTATTTCAAAACTAAATTTAATATAAGATTAATCAGATATACATACATATAATGTATATGTATGTATGTGCCGTATGTATTTCATTTATTATATACACATCATAAAGCAATTATAATCTTACTAATTTATTATAAATAATATAAGCTAAAAGAATCAAAAGCTTAAGTTTTGTTATACCTTGTACAACACTTGTTACACTCTTTTGATTGCATTCAATCAATTTATCTGGAATTAAAATCCTCGTTTCGAAATTTCAAGGTCTCTGGTGAAATTTTTAATAAATCACAATTTTAATCATATTCTTTTACTCAATTATTGTTACAGTTGCTTATTTAAAGGTATATGAATATCTATTTCTAAGAAAATTCGTTTTATATTTACACAAACTAAATGAATATAATGTGTATACATACATTATGTATTTTGTACTTTATAAAATTATCTGAATTTTTTATACATACAAACATATAAAAATACTTAAGTAAATTCACTTATATTCGCAATAAAAAACTATTTATCAATATTTTAACAGCATTTATCATTATCAATATGCCAATAAATAAAAATCGTATGATGTTCAATAAGTATATGTATATGGGTGAAAATTTAAAAGTTAGCACATTTGCGTCACAAAAAAGTAAGCTTAAATAAATACTTTTTTAGAAAATAAATCAAATTTTAATTAATAAAATAAAAATTATAAAATCTTTAATTTTAAATAAAAAAAATTTTTAGATTGCAAAAGTAAGTATTTTTGGAAAATTTTGGAAAATTGTCGGAGCGCGTTTTCTGTTTTCATATAAATGAAACTTGTCACAGACCACATTTTTAATTTTCAATTTAAATTTTCATGAACTTCCCCCACAGAAGGATATATTTTAAATTACATTGCAAAATTATTTCATTATTTTTAAATAAAAATCAAAAATTAGTTTTTAAGTTTTAATTTATTTTAATGTAATTTTAACAGAAAAAAAGTGTGTCACTAGAATTGTTCAACTGCGTTACTTCAACTATGTTACATCATAAAATTTTTTAAAATTAATCATTTTTTTAAATATTTTGGCATCATTATTTGTTTTAAAGAATACGCAATAAGTCTGTTCGGGCTAGTGGTGAATGTTGTTCCAAACACATCGCTGGAGATAGTTTGAATTTTTTTTGCCGTGAATGTAAAACGCTTTTTTCAACTGTGTTACGTGGTTTTTGTTTAAATATTTTTTTTAAAAATTCAAAAAAGTGGCATATTATTAAGCAAACCAAGTAAACTAACCAACTGTATACTTTAAAATGCAAAAATATGTTGTAGTTTTATGTTAATATACTTTTTATTTTAAAATATTCTACTGCGTTACTGTTCAACTGTGTTACTAAATTTAAGTAACACTACTGAAGACATGGTAAGAAAGTTGATTTTTAAGGCAGTTTACTCTAAGTTGGTGAATAAATTCTTAATAATTTTACATACAAATAGGCGATAACATATTTTATTGATTATTATACAAAATGCCACTATCTATTTATATTTTAAATATGTATATTGTTAAAAATGCAAATGAAAAACTTAACCGAATATATACAACTTCATCGAGAGGAAAAAAGTTAATATCTTAGCATATTAAACAACAGCATGAAATTTACTGTTTTTGTTTTAATTTTTTTTGTTAATATACTGAAGACTGAATCAAATTTTTCAACAGTGTTACTATATTTTCCACTGCGTTACTGTTTTGTCACAAAAAAAATCAAAAAAAAATATTGTTTTAAACTTTTTTCTTCAAATTTAAGCTCTTAATTTTTTTGTTATGGACATTTTTAGAATAAAAAATTAATTTCTAAAGCAGTTATGTAAAAATTCCTGCAAGAAAAAAAC